AACCCTAACCATTCTGTGATTCTATAGTACTGAAAATTTTCTTTTAGTGAGTCATGTGTGATTATTAGTCTGATTTCCAGAAGTGGTATTTCAGTCTTAGATGTTGACTGTAGCAGATCTATTTTTGATGAAGTGATTTATTTCTATGAAATGTTTCCAGAAGTATAAATAATGTTAAACTTTACATTCTACAAAAAAGACCTTATTGGTAACATGGACTTTCTTTCTAATCAGGATGTAAATACATATATATCATTACATTTCTCTATTTGGCCATGTAACAAAAGGATAATAATAGACAAAGACAGTGGACATATCCAAGACTACATCTTCAAATTAAATTCTTCAAAACATGTAGGAGTGAGGAGTCATAGATGAAGTTGACATGGAGACCCTAAAACTGGAGTTCATGAGCCTGTTGATCGTAACAGCCGAGTGTTCTTTGTAACAAGAAGAAATTATTTTTACAGCTGATTGATTTCTCAGGACATTTAACTCATGAATGTTGCACTCAATTAATTGAAATATTCTTTACTTTTGATGATGTCATAAAAAGCAGTATTTTAATTCCCCTGTATTTCTTGGGCTTCAGGCTTTTTAAAAAAATTGTTAATCTTCTCTGTTTATACTAGACAACTGACTGTATTATAAAGTAGCCTCTTGATTTATTGAAATCCTTCAGAGTCACCATTACAATTAATTGGTGAAATAGCACCATTGCTAAGATTCAGAGACAAAAGATGAAGATGGAAATTTTGCAGCAGCAGGCTGTGAAGGTTTAGAGGAAAGGAGGGAATGCATGCCCCATTGTGAGACTATTTTAGACAATGCTGTCAGTTTCATAGAAGATTTGCCACTGGCTCACGTTTCCTGTTCAAGCAATGAGATTTCTTTTATGTGTCGTTGAAGACTGCCAGTTGGAGATGTGAAATAACAAAAGGTTTGCTGCCGCTGCCTTGATGTGTACTTCAGGAGATGAAACTGATGTCAAAATACTATGGGTTAGAAACTAACTCTATCAGACTTAGGGCAATTGTAGAACTAGGATCTTAAAACAATGTGCCATTGCATATACCTGTCTAAAGCAGAAGTTTAAAGTGATGAATCACTCACCTAATCAGCAGCCCATGAAGACCTGTTTAGGTCTGCCAAAAGAAAGCAGCAGCTAGGGGAAAGATAATTCCAGCTGGGGGAGATTGTGACCACCTACCCAAATGATACCACCTACTCAAAAGAGATCAATAGAAGTAGGAAACTGAGCGTGCATTCTAATTTGCATTGTAGGTGAAGAAATCTTAACGAATCGTTTAACAGAATAACAATGTATGTGTATTAGAGAGATTAATATGTTAATGTTTTGTATAAGTAACTCAATTTGGAACTTCGGTTTGCTGTCTTGGGACAGACACCCATATATACATATACATGTAATAAAAGTCAATACCTCCACTCCGTGTGTGGTTTGACTCATTGCACACTGGGTGACAAACCCAAGTTTTGGGACAACAAAAGGAATACATAGGATTAGCACTGAAGAATGCAGGAAGGAAGTTATTCCAGCTCTGTAAGGAAAAACATCTTGTAAAATTCTTCTGATTTACGGGATTACCTAACATTAGCACTCTCTAACCTCTCTGCCAAGGAATTGATGTAAATAAAGTTCTAAATGCAATATGGTTACAGTTTGACAGAGGAACGCAGACTTTTATATCTTTTTGAGTGAATCAACGTAAATTATGAGCTACTCTCACATGATGAACAAAGCACCACTGAGTTTATTTGTAGTTTTTGATGAATGCTAGCATTCAGTGAGTACTTATCTGGGAAGAATGTGAAATATAATTTGCTTAAAACCAGCATGAAATGAATATTAATCTGGGGAGCGGAGGGAAGCTCTGATAGTGCAGCTATAGTTTCAGCTCCCTTCCACAGCAGCGTAATACTTTCAAGTGCATGACAACACAACTCTTTTCCCATATGACATTTTCTGTGTTCACTGCTAAGAACAGTTTCTACTCGCTGAATGAATAAATATTCAGTATTTCATTGTACTTTTTCATTTTCATTCACAACTTTCTATCTCCTATACTATACAATACCAGACTTGGACATGGTTTTGTCAGGAGTGTAGTGGAAGGTGTCCCTGCCCATACCGGGGAAAGTGGACCTAGATGATCTTTGAAAGTCCCTTCCAATCCAAACCATTCTATGATTATGGTTGATTTAAATTGAAATTTAAATTACAAATGTAATTGTATGAATCATAGATACAGTTGGATTTCTGGGCTGCAAGCACACATTGCCAGCTTGTGTCCAATTTTTCATTCACCAGTACCCGTAAATCCTCCATAAGGATGCTCTGAATCCCTTCATCCCTCAGCCTGTATTGATATTGAGGATTGTCCTGACTCAGGTGCAGGACCCTGCATTTGACCTTGTTGAACCTCATGAGTTTCACATGGGCACTTCTCAAGCTTGTCCAGCTCTTCTGGATGGCATCCCATCCCTCAGGCATTTCAACCGCACCACTCAGCTTGGTGTCATCTGCAGACTTGCTGAGGCTGCGCTCAATCCCACTGTCTATGACACTGGTAAAGATACTAAACAGTACTGACCTCAGTACATCCTGAGGGATGCCACTCATTGCTGATCTCCATCTAGATATTGAGCCATTGACCACTACGCTGTGGATGTGTCCATCCAGCCAATTCCTTATCCACTGAACAGTTCATCCATCAAATGCGTATCTCTCCAATTTAGAGAGAAGGTTGTTGGGGGTGACTGTGATAGTCTAGATAGATTGTATCAGTAGCTCTTCCCTTGTCCACTAATGTGGTCCCTCCAAGAGACATGAAGTTCAGTGTTTAAAAAGACAACCAAAATACAAGCAATATGTAATAAAAAAAATGTATGTTTATAATGAAGCATCAGATGCGTGTAATACGAAGTAGATTGTGTTATGTATTCAAAGTTAAATACTGGCATAGATGCATATAACAGTTACAGAAATCTACAAAATATCTTTTAACTATAATCTGAGGGGGAGGGAGCGTTCAAAATTTTTAAAATTATTCTGCTGCATTTCAGCTACTCTAGCAAAATTATTATAAATTCTAAGGGGAGTTGCAGTGCAAAGCTGGATTCAGTTACCAGTGTCGTAACTGAGTCTGCATAAGGATAATCTACCCATGCAGACAGATCCAAGTTTTAGATTCTGTGCATGCCTGAAAGCACTGATTTTTCCCTTCAAGCTACAATAATTGAAAGAGTGAATGCAAAGGTATGTGAGGCAGGAAGGAAGAATTGTTTCCCAATGCTCCATTTTTGGATTAAAGTTTTAAGTCAATATGTTCTGTTTGTTTATTTTAGTTTGGTTTTCACAACAGAGGAGACTTAGTTGAAAGAAGTAATAGAAAAATCAACATTAGATCCCTTTTAATTAAATATCAAGTTCATTAATAAAAATAAAGTATTGGCACAGAGTCTTTCAAAGGAGAGTAGTGATATCACTTGGTTTGAAGTTCAATAAGCAGTTAAATCCTGTTTTCAGTATTTCGTCCAAATTCATTAATTCTGAAGTTATTTTCATTTTTTCTCTTTAATGTTTTCTTACAATGAATGCTCTAGGAAATTGAAAACAGCTGGGGTGCACAGATCCTTTGGAAATTTCTGTTCTTATCTTAGATTTTGTGTCTGAAAAAAAATAAAAACAGACATCAAGAATGAATATTGACTGTATAACGTTTTCTCTTCTTAGGTACTTTTTGTTGATCCTGTCCAAGAAGATGCATGTGATTATGTGAAAATGGCAGAATTGTTCTATCATCATTACGTACCAGTTAGGTAAGGAAAACTGAAAGTCTTGAAGAAAAGTCTTGGAAGGCGGCTGCTTTCCTTTTTTCTTCTTCATCTTCTATTCTGCTAGGCAAAGATTTGAATTCAAATGAAGTCCGGTGCAACGACATTCTAAGGAGACCCATTGGTTACCCACTCGTGTTGAGCTTACTTGAGCATTAAGTATTCTTAATCAAATAGGTGGCAAGAGATAACATACCTGAGTGTGCGGAAAACGAACTGCAAACGTCTAATAAAAAATTATCTTGTCAAATAGTCTCACTGGATGCCCACATGAAGTTGCATTCTAAGCAAAATATTCTGTGAGTAAAACGTGATTTGAGGGCATTTTTGAATTTAGCTCTTTCAATTGAGGTTGCTTTACCTAATTTTGTTTTTATTTAAATACTTAAAGACCAAAGTGAGATTATCCTCGCCAAGTTTTGAATTTCTAAATATTAGTTATCTGAGTCTGAACTAGTTGTCATTTGAGAGAAAGAGACATTTCTGAGGAGAAATCTGTTTAATCTGAGATGCCTACTTTAAAAAAAAAATTAATTGCCCTCTGAAGTGCCTGTTTATTTCCACAGCTTATAAGAGTGTCCAAACTAGATCCAAGGTTCAGCAAGATGAATTCCATGTTAAAGATTTAAAATCTTTCTGTGAAATGGCTTTTTGCTTCCTCAATAAATTACAGATTTTTCATTTTCCTTCAAAATTTTAGTGATTCTTATCATTGTTTTGGTTTTCTTTGGTTTTATCATTCAATTACAAAAAAAGTAATGGAGGACAAATATTAGTTATCTGTGCATTTTGTCATTGTTGCCATTACCTGGGAGACAGTACTGCTTCAGTCCTTGAGGACAATACAGCCTAGAACCTAATTTGTCTTTTCTGATACTTAACAGCATACGAGCAGCCAAACTGGGTTAGACTGAAAGTCCATTTAGGTCAGTCTGTCTACAGCAAGCCACGAGGAGCTGCCTAGGTCAGATAAAAAGAACGGGGCAGCCAGGTACTTAGCCTGAGTGTTTTTCTGGCCTTCACACATTTGGAGATCAAAGAATTCCAGCCCAGGTGTGGTTTCTAACTATTTAGCAACCTTCAGTGGATTTCTCTTCCATAAACTTTTCTGTTTTCCCCTTGAATTCGTGTAAAGTTTTAGCACCCATAGTATCCTTTTTTCAGATGTTTCCACAGTTGAACTACATGGTGTGTGAGGAACTGCTTCATTCATTTTGAGACAGACTTTCAATGGTTTCGTTTACTGTCTCTGTAGCTCTTGTAACTGAGAGAGAAGCTAAGCGGTCTCTCCCACTTTCTAGGTGCTGGTCGTGATTTTATAAAACTCTACCATATTTGACTGCAGTAATTTTTTTCCCTAGGTTACGAGTTATTCCTTGCCTGGAAGCTGTTCCAAAAGTTGTTTGTCCGAGTTGTCTTTCTCTGAACTTTCTTATCTTAATATGACTTCCCTGACATGAGAGCAAGAGCCATGTACACAATGATCAAGATGTGGACAAACCATGGAGTCTATACTATCATATAATATTTTGCTTTGCTTACTGTTCTTGTGGTACCCAGATGACACAAGACTTTAGGAAAAGTTATTTACAATAATGAGAGATGTAAAAAATGGGAGAAGCAATTAATTGTAGAACATGGTGCATCTGCATTAATCATTATTTATATCTTTTTAGAAAACTTGCTGTATTTCTTACCTCCCTCTGTCCTTTGATCTGATGCACACCTGATTATGTCCCGAACATCTGTCTAACCGATTTTATACTGACATGACAGATTTTGTTTTAATCGTTTAAAAATATCTGATGTGCAGTGGCTATCCAAATTAAAACCTGACTTCCTAAATCCAACTCATTGAATTATCACTTGTAAATATGAAGGTCTTCTGAAACATGACTCAACATTGCAGATTGTCATGTTGTTGTAGTTGCTGTCATGTATCATGAGATCAGTAGGTCTCTCATGTTCTTATAGGAGCTGTGATGGAGCTGTACACTTTGTGGAAGTATTTACAAGATGCACAGTGTTTTCTTGAGTCTCTGTGATACTCCTTTGGAAAGACTGTGATTCTGTTATTCTGTGTTACAGTTTGCCTCTTTTTGACAGTTGGCATAATTTTCAAGCTTTCAACCGACTGCTGTGTACAGAACATTATCCAGTGCTGTCATACGTGTAGTCAGGAATAGGCAGCAGCTTATACAGGTGTATTAAATAGATGGCTGCAATGGTGTAAGCCAGTTAGCACATAATATTAAGTGGTTTGGCTTGCAGTTTGGCAGCCAGAGACATCCCTATGTGTAGATTTGCTAAAAAAAGTAAATGTAGAGGAGAAAAAAGTTGAATAGCTGCTTCCATAGGGATGGAGCAGCCTTTTTGTGCATCGTTGGGTTTGCCTTGGGAGAAGCAACAGCTAATGGTAGAAGATTTTGCTGCAGACCTGGTATGACTAGCATTAGCTGCACATACTCAGGATGATTCAAGAATGCACTCTGGAAAACTACATGAAGCTGATCTCTAAACTGCTGCAACAACAAAGCGTTCACATAAAATCTCCATTTCTGATTCATAAAAATACCTGGCTTTGGCCATCTTCTTCCCATTCCTCTCTCCCATATACAAGGAGGCTTCATGTTGAAACGCAGGGGTGGAGGGTGTCTATTCTTCGAAGAAAATTTATTGATACCAGACAGTGAAAGGCTTGGAAATCCTTAGGAGGGTTCTGATGGAACTGACTGTAATGCTCAGAAGTCCTTTCAAGTAGTGTAGTAAAGACAAGAAGGATTCTTATGTGTTCTCAGGAGGGAATATAACTTCAAGTATCTTCTTTTAACTCTCCTGGGTCTTCAGTCTGTGAAGGACTTTGTGCTTTAGTCATTATGCTACTATTTGCAGTCTGTTTCACCAGATTGTCTCATTGCTCAAAACCTTTGTTCCCTGGAGAAACAGGATCTTCACATCAGTATCTTGGACTTTTGAGCTTTCTGGAGTGTGTGCCAAACCTTTCAGTGACATCTTCATGAGTTACATGTGCAAATGATGGTGCTTAATTTAATCAAAATGTTTTGCATAGACAAACAAGTGGCTGCTAGGTTTGAATTTCCTCTGCTATTGTAGAACACCAAATCTCTGTTATGCTTCATGCTGTAAAGATAGTATGGCCTGATCAATCCAGTTTCTTTTTCATAAGAACAGTATCAAAATACCACCTCCACTAGGAGTTTTCTTGTTGTTTTGTTTTGTTTTTTTTTTCCTCTTGAGCCTCATATTTCTAGGGCTTTTTTAATTTAATGGAAATGTAGGGAATTGTAGTAGATGTGTTAAAATTGCTGTGAATGGAAAATGAATGGCAATGGGAGGGTGTGGAAGGCCCAGAAAGTAAAAAAGGCAAGAGAAGGACTAGGAAGAATGGCATGTATGGATGACAGGGCGTCAAGACCCCAGCATGTCTGCATGCAGCTACTCAAGACACCGATTTCAGGCAAAATAAAAGATACATTATGCTCAGACTAAAACAAAGACTCAAGGTTAAGAGATGGTGGCAGGAACATAAACAATGTCATAACCTTTGATCAGATAAGGAAAGAAAGGGCTGTGAGTAAATCCTAATGACTCCCAGAAATATTAATTACTGTCAGCTTTTTGTGCCTACGTGCTGGACAGATTACTTGAATGCAAACGTTTCGTTCTCTTCTGTCAGTATTAGAATGTATGTGAAATTGATATAGTTTTAAGATGTACGATCTCTTTTTGTTTGTTTATAGGATGGGATTTGTTTTCATTTTAAGTACTAAAGAAGAAATTGATGGAAACGAAGATGCTGGAATAGCACTTTGGAGAACTTTTAATTACATCACAGAGGAATCTGACACCTCTCAAGCTTTTACCTCGATAACTAATGTTAGTTCTTTCACAAGAAATCACCTCTCTTTTTCTTTTTCTTTTTTAACTTATTACTTTTCAATATAGTTAGGATTTTGCTACCTTGTGACAACAGGATACATTTGCATTTACTTTACATGCAAACAAAGTCTAAAAAACATGTATAGCATTAATGTGCTATAGAATGATTTGCAGAAATATTTTCCTCCTCCGGAAACCAACTTATTCTTGTCGTTTTACCTATCTTCAGACTTTCTTCAAGAATATAGAAAGGTAGATGCATACCTTCCAGCCTTCAGTACATTCTTGTGAAAAATAATTCTGAGTCATTTGCATTAACGTGATGTGCCTGCCTTTGTGTTATGTACCTCTTAGAGTACAGGCATTTTGATATCACTATGGCAATCCTGTAAGCTTTGAAAACACTTACTTGTTATCTAGCATAGAAAGTGAAACAGAGTAAGATAAGGGTTTTTTGGTCATGTTTGAGCTGTTCATGAGTGTAGAAAACGTAGAAATATTTCAGGATTGCAGCTTAATGAATGAGCCTGGTTTTCTGTGTGAGAGAATGCAGGTTCATGTAAAGACAGGAATTTCAAAGATAAAGAGATGAATGGAGGGAAATAAAGTGAGCAGTCGATGTGAAGACTGCAGGCAAAATTATATCAGAGAATAAGGTATTAATACGTAATACTTTTTCGTACTTTTGTTTTCTGTTATTCTGTTCAATGCCTGGAAATTAATGTCATGGACAAACTGAGAAAGCTTAAGACGAAAAGTGTTGAAGTAACTAGAAGTAAAAATTCACAGTGTTAGGAGCTGACATGCACGTGTGACTATTATCCATGACCAGATCACAAAATATCAATTTACAGTGTGCTTTTTAAAATGTTGTGTTCCTCTATTTGCTTTGCTTTGTAATATAAAAGAGAGGCCATGATAAATATAATTAAAAGATAACAAAAGTAGAATCAATAAAATCCAGGTTTGAGATATTCAGCGCTATAGAGAGAAATGTACTGTTCCTCATTTGAAAAGAAATGGATTGAATAATTTTCACTTCAAATTTCTTTTGTATGTTTGATGAAAGTAATAAAATATTACACTATGAAATAAAATAGCATTGGTAAGGAAAAATTATCACTGTATAAAAAAGTATCATTGACTAATTCAGGCGTGGATTCATCCCATATAGATTCAGTTAACTACCCATGGTTAGGTAGTTTATAGTAAGAATTTAAATTCCTTCTCTAATCAGTGGAGAGAAATAGCCTTTCGCATAAGGTCGCATAAGTGTGTTACTTTGCTACTTCAGATTTAGACTAAAGGTATAATAATAGATTAATCAGAACTGTGCTCCAATGAAAAATTTTGATGTTGATATTTACTAAAGCAATATAAAAACTGCAATATAGCAATAAAAACAATGTAAAAGTATAACAAAAATTACTACAGCACTGTAAAAAGATTATATTTACTTTATTGTTTAGTTACTTTATTTAAATTGTGATTGAAAATATATTTCATTTTACTTAATTTTTTCTGTTACAATTTTTACAGATGTGCCATGAAGTGAAAGATGGAAGTATTCTAACAGTAAATCATGTGAAAGATGTTCTTAGAAGTGAATACCCCCACGCTGATGTTCAGAGTATACTAGGTGTTCATTCTGAATATGACGAAGGGAGAAAGGTACGTTGAGAGTGAAGTGGTAAGAGATACTGCAATACACAATTCATTGCATTTGCTAAGCTGAAAGATTGCTAAATGGTAAAACATACACACATACTGAGAGAGTTGGGCTTGTTCAGCCTGGAGAAGAGAAGCCTCCAGGGAGACTTTCTAGCAGCCTTCCAGTACTTAAAGAAGATCTACAAGAAAGCTGGAGAGGGACTTTTTACAAGGGAATGTAGTGATAAGACAAGGGGTAATGGCTTTAAGCTGAAAGAGGGTAGATTTTGATTAGATCTAAGGAAGAAATTCTTCCCTCTGAGGATGGCGAGGCACTGGAACAGGATGCCTGAGAATTTGTGGATGCCCCGTCCTGGAAGCATTCAAGGCCAGGCCGGATGGGGCTTTGAGCAAGCTGGTCTAGTGAAAGGTGTACCTGCCCATAGTAGTAGACAACCTAAACCATTCTATGATTTTAATTTCCTCTGAGAAAGACAGCTATGGATTTTAATTTAAAGGCTATAGAGAAGACATATTTTTATCTATAGTTGATTATGTAGAAAATTTTCTGCTAAAATATATATAAAAAACAGTTCTTTGTGTGTCTTCAGCCATACCATCTATGCAATCTTGTGTTTCTGACACACGCCGTCCATTTTATTTATTTCCTTTTAGAATTTGTTATATAGCCATTTTATGTTCCTTTAAAAAGGTGCGTCTGGGCAGCCAGAGGAAAGGTACCATTTGCCTTACGGTGCTTGTTCCTCACTTAGTTGCTTGGAGGTGTTGTGTAGAAGGGCAATTTGAATCTGCCCTGGAAACAACTGGATATGCTTAGGGGAGAGAAGCTTCCCACAGAGAACATTAAAGGAGGAATAATAGATGGAGACCCACCAAGAGAAGCCCCCTGTCTGAGCAGAGACTATGAGACTGTGGTGAAGATCAAGGAGGAGACAGTGGGATGATGCAAAGATGGATGCATAGGTACTGCCATAGAGTTTGTAGCCATCCAGAAAGTGACACTGAAAGAAAACATGAAAGGATACAGCATAGGAAGAGGGGATTACTTGCAATGCTTTTTTGTTTCTATTTGTCTCACTGAATTTTTTCTGTTTGGGAAAAATTAGCCTGTTCTGCTTTCTTATCAAATGAGGCTAAGCTTCTGAACATAAAAACCTTTTGAGGGCTATTTCTCAGCAACGTGATTAAGCAAAAGTTTAAAACCCCATATATAGATCTGTCGGTTTTGGTGGGGTTTTTTACCATTCTATGTGAGAAATGAGTCCCATGTGTCCTGTTTGTTTTCCAAACATTTCCTGTTTTGTCCCTGCTACTCATGAGTAGTTGTGACAGAGAATAGTGCTTGGAGATAAGAGTTCATTGTCTCTTGATATTCGTTTCATTTTTTGCTACAGTCAGCCACAGTCTGTTTAATCCTGTGATGTTTCTGATATGATCAGGCAGGAGCAACGTTCTATAAAAAGACTGGCCTGGGTCCGTTGCCTCAAGCTCTGTTTAATGGCGTGCCCATTAGCAAAGAAGAGATGGGTGCTGCAGAGTTAGAGGCAGTTTTTATTCAGAAGATTGTTGATGCCACCGGGTTCTTCCAGAGGGCAGTGTCGATGGTATGTTTAGCATTTCTGAATGAACGCGAGATGAAATATTTAGCAGTGGATTGTTTGAGTCATGTTTCTGTATTACATTTTTTATAACAAAATGACTTGAAATTAATAATATGACAACTGAAATTACATTGTTGCATTAATTTGTGGTCATGGTTTTGAAGCAGTACATTTAGATTATACAAGATTGAAGGATCAGCTTAGCATGTAGTAATCATATGCGATTTTTCAACCAGAAACTGAGAATGTACTGTAGTTGTTCATTGAAAAATGTGCGTCTGATATTTTGAAATACTATCTGTGTGATAGTTATACGTATTTGACTTTACATTGTCCATAACAGTGTATATAGAAGGTTTAAGCTCAGTTGAAAGATTGTACAAATAGTTGATCTTTATTTATCTTGAAAGTATAGAAGTACAGATTTAATTTTTTTCTCTTACTACAGGGTTTATTAAATGATCATATAAATGCAGTAGATTTCCTTATGGATCAGCACGATGTAGTTTCCCGTATAAACCCCACTGTTCTTGGAGCAGAAAGAAGATACATACATTTCGGTTTCACATCTGGTAACTACTTTTGTCAGAGTGGCTGTTGTTGGGATTTTCCTTTTTTAAGTCTAACTTGTTGTGTTTTACGTTTTGCAGTTCCATTTGATGTGGAAGACTTCTCGACTTTCTCCTTTTTGGACTCACAAGATAAAAGTGCTGTAATTTCAGACAATATGAAGTATTTAACAAAAACGGGTATATTAATTTTGTATGTGGATTATATATATATATGTATTACAAATCGTTGAAATTTGCCAGTAAAATATCCGAAGTAAGTAAATATCCCAAGCATCCCATGTAAATAAGTAAATTTCCTAATATCCCAGTATCTTCTTTCAGAAGCCATATCATATCCTAATATTATATGAAATAATAAATAAATATAATAACAGGATAGTTATTCTAAGTTTTGCAGTTTTGAAATGGGATGGATGTTGTGGCTAGTTGTCTGGATTTTTTTTAGAGACACGAAGTTTTAAAGTTTTGTAAGACTTTTGCAGCTTTGAAAACAATTTTCATACTGACTTAGTTTTACTTGAGAATATTAAAAGTATATTCAGTTTTCATGTGACTTATTTGCAGCATTATCAAGTCAATACTTTATAGTCTTTGTAATATCTGTATCAAAATTAGTCATTATTACAGTTTAAGAGATAATTGATTTTATTTCTTATTTGTTAACCTTTAGTATCTCGTTATTATTTTTCCTTTAGTTGATTGTTTAATTTTGGTATCTGAAGCTTTTTCTTTCTATAGAAAAGAAAAAATACATATGTTCTGATGGATTATCACTTATTTATACATCTTATCTTACTAAACCTCACACTTTTTTGTACACTTAAAATATTTTTTGAAATATTCTTATTGCATATGCGAGTACTTTCCCTCTGAGTTAGAAGAAATTATAATTACAGCAGTGGGAGCATAATACTGCATGGAATTTTGCATTAGTCTGTACCTTGTTAACATCTAGGGGTTGATAGTTAAAAACCGCTAATTTACATCAGTCCATCAAGGAAGAGAATAATCCTGTTAGTAAAGTGTGGTGTTAACATAGTTTTTACTTATTCCATTATCAGAAAGAAATGCTATATACTTACATTTCTTTAGAATAAAATTATTTGACTATATTTGATTCTCTGTCTACAATCACAGAGTTATCCCAGCTAGTTGTCAAATGATGACTGACTTTCAGTCTGTAGGCTCATTTCTGAGATTTAGATCTCTTGTGTAAAAACCCATAACCTTTAAGCTGGAATCTACATTTCATATCTCTATCCCCAGTCTGTTTCTCGAGACCTCAACACTTAATCATAGCCTCTTCCTAGAATCTCACCAGAACCTTGTAAAATTCCTGTCTATATGTATTACCTCTTAGGGGATATATGATGCACCTGAGTAGACATCATTCTTCTACAGATGATTTTGCAGAATTTTTCATGTACCGTTTCCCTTCTATGCAGAAAAAAGATGAGGAAGCTGTAGACCAGGGAAAAGGGAAATTTTCTGCTTATACACCTATACTGTAGTTTACTTTCTTTGGTCTGTATTTGCTATATTCCTGTTTGTGTCCAGAAATGGTAAGTTTTGTCTTGCCTTTGTTTGACGGACTCTTCCTTTGCTGCCAGGGAAAGTGAATGGCCTAACACAGGCATTCTTAATTAACTACTTAATTACTTTAATTTCTGGCTGTATGGCCAGCCTCCATCAAGTGTTCACAAGAAATCACTTATAAAACTGGTATTGTTAATTGTAGCTAGCTTATTATTTAGGGCCATGTTGTTTCAGTGGTACAACAATGGATTGGCTATTTTAGTGGCTCTCATATTAACATGATGAAGTACTTCCTAAGAATTTTATTTCAATTCAGAGGGCAAAAGATTCCTGAGTGGCAAAGATTAGTCTTACAGTTGAAGTCAACAGTCAAACATATACGTAAACTTCCAAGTCTCGAACAGAATTAATTCATTATTCATTGCTCGTGAGAAGATTCTCTAGAATGTAAAGCAGGATTACCTTTCATTTGCAGATGAAGGTGCATTATATGCTGTTACGATCTGGATTATTGCTGATTTTGATAAGCCAGCTGGGAGACGACTGCTTTCTAATGCCTTGAAACACCTGGTGAGTCTCTAGCAGTTTTTATTGAAATAATTATTACGAATATGTTCTTAACAACACTGTGGATGTTTATACTCTTAAATAGAAGTTTAACAATTTTTTTTTGCGGGGGGGGGGATTCAGGTGCAGATTTATGAGACTGTGCTTTCACTTTGCTCTACTCTCCTGCAGAACTGGCATGTTACAGGCCTGTAAATGATCTTTTGATTCATGGACTCCTGATGCAGGAGACAAACTATGATGCTGTGCATCAAAAGGGTGAATTTCTTTCTAATTACAGACTTTCTCTCATGAGGTAACCTAGCATGTTTCCTGGGCCAGGGAAGTGAGGATAACGCCTGTTCATGTGAACTGTTACACAGTGTTCTCCAGTATCGTATGGCGTAACTGTGGCTGTGAAGTGACCATTTTTCCATGTGGTGTTTGTATGCTTCTGAGACAGATTACTTTTTTTTTTGTATTTTAATATGCTAGGAGCATCATCTATATTTACAAGTTTGCTCATTTATAAGTTCTTCAGTATTAATAATAAAAATTAAAGTATAGAAGTAAATGTCACGTGAATATAAATGACCAAAAAAACTCAGTTCTGGGGAGTTTAGAAGAGTAATTAGACTGAAATTGGGAAAAATATCTAGATTTTAATAATCAGGAATGAAATAGGAACCATCCTAAGGGAATTATAAAATTGATATGTTGCAGATAGCGTGTGATACCTAATATGTCCTAAAAAGAGGTTTAAAAAAACTGCAAGGAGGGTTATGCAGTACAGTTCCTTGCTATAGGAAAAATGTTTAATTTATCTGACTGCTACATCTGTGACACAAGCTTGGCAGATATATTCCTGCTGTAGTTTCACTATTTTCCCCTTTCAGTGAGGAAAATATGCCATAGTTTCCAGCTCTAGGAAGTGAGAACTGTCTGGATAAATCCTCATGTGTTAGTGAGGAGAATCTAGGAAAAGCATTGGAAAAAGGTGTTCTGAACAAGGTTTGTTGGATCTTCTATGAAATAGCAGGTTAATTGGTTATGTTCATTCTAACGCTTAGATTTGATTTAGTTAAACGACATTTCCAGTTGTACTGCTTGGTCTAACGTTTTCTGTTTCATGACAAACAAAACATAGCATTTTTTAACAGTCCATCGATTTCTGTAGTGATTCTCTACTCCTTTCTAGTCCCTTTTGTCTGTTGGGTCAGGGCCTAGTAGAATTTCTGATAGGTGCAGAGCTGGCATAGACACCTCTTGCGTGTGACTTGCCATTGGCCTTTGAAGAAAATTATGCAAGAATCTGGTAGGGGAAGCGGCTTAAAGGAACTTACTTGTAACTATTCCAGCTAATATATATTGTATTATTTTGAAAACTATTAATATATTTTAACATCATTTGGAAAAAGTAGAGATGTCTTGGCTGGACTTCTGGATGTCATCTAATTAGCTTCCCACTTAGAGCAGAACTATTGCCGTCATTAGATCAGGTCAGCTGTAGCTTTGCCTGAAGGAGTCCTGAAAATTTCTAAGGAGGCGACTCCAACTCCTCTCTTGATAATTTGCTCTGGTGTTGCACTACCTTACTAGTGAAGTTTTTCCTAATGTCTGCTAAGCCAAAATCAGTGGCCAGTACCCCTTGTTATACTATTTGCCACTACCAAGAAGAGTTTGGCTCTGACTTGTTTTTCACTCCCCCTTCAGCAGTTGTTGGTTGCTATTAGGGTTCTCTGTAGCCTCCTCTTCGCCAGACTGAGCAAGCCCATCTTCTTCAATGCCTCCTCATAGGTCTCTGACCATCTTGGTAGCCCTCTGCTGAAGCTTCTCCAGCATCTCAGTATCTTTACTGCACTGGGATTACCAAAACCAAGCACAGTAGCCCAAGTGAAGCCTTACAAGTACTGAGTAGAGGAGAAAAAGAACTTCCCTTGATCAGCTTGCTGTGTGTCTCCTAGTATGCAACTTGTTTCTTTCCAGTGAGAGAGAGCATACTTCTCAGGAACAGCTTCAAGAACTAATTTTCAAGCTTTTCAAATAGGTGTTTTAACAAAATTCTCTCAAGCGCTGCAGTTTAAAATTTACCATTTAAGTATGCTGAATACCACTGACTTTATTCCTTATTTTTGTATTCTTTATCGCAATAGAGAATTTACCTTTTCTTCAGTTAGTGACATTATTTGATTCTAGCTTTGAATCATCTCTCTCTCTAGTAA